AGATCCTGAATGTTGGAATGGGGACATATGGACAGATCCCAGTCAAGCTAGGGGCAGTGAACCCCTAAATTCTGCTGAGCCTTCTCTGCCAATTGATGCACCCCTTCCACCCCTGTCTGAAGAGGTTAAACCTGCAGTGCCTAAAAACCTTTAATGGCTTCCTCTGAGGTAGTTTACTTCCAAACATTGCTGATTGTCCTCATAATCTACCCAACATTTGTCTTTGCTTCTTGACTAGTTTGAATCCTAGCAGGCTCCAAAATGTGAAGTACAAAGTATGATCCATGAGAAGGTACACTACACATCAAAAGAACTGTGTGATTTTTTTCAATTTATACAGAAAAAAATATGGGGAATTTGTGTGGAAACTAATATTAAGAGTATGAGACAATGTGAGTAACATAAAGTTGGATTGGGCTGAATATATGAATATGGGCCCAGCAAGCAGAGATTCTGAACTCAAACATGCAGCTCAATGGGTTAGAAAAGGTGCTATCACTTTTGTTGGTTGGTTGAAACATGGACCAAAAGGTGATCTACACTATACAAATTTAAAATGCTAGAACTCCTTTGGTATACTGTATCTGAAAGCTTAGGGAGACTGGAATGTAAAAGTGGATTTATCATGTAAGACCTGTTCACCCACCCCGGGAGAACATACCTTTCATGACTGAGAAATACGTTTTTGAGGGGAGCCTCAACAACTTTGAAGGGCTCTGTGATCATTCTTCTCCAAAGATCAGAATTTATAGCCACTGAACCAGTATCTTTAAATGCAATGAGGATAACTGGATCCCAGGGTGACAAGCACCAAGTGAGGGCACTTAATCGACAAAAAACAAGGTAGGCATGGTTACTGTAATAGACAGCAAAGTCAAAGAAGTAATGAGAACAGTCTGACTTACAAAGACTTATGGCAGCCAAAACCAGTTTGGCTCAGTGGATAGAGCGTCGGGTCTGTGGACTGAGGGGGTCCCAGGTTTGATTCCGGTCAAGGACATGTGCCTTGGCTGGTGGGGGTGTTCAGGAGGTGGCTGGTCGATGTTTCTCTCTCATCAATGTCTCTGGCTCTCTCTCCCTTCCTCTCTGTAAAAAATCAATAAAATGTTTTTTTTTTTAAAAAAGACTTATGGCATTGGTTAGTTAATCATTGTGTCCCTTGAAGAGAAATAGATGGGCAGTCTAATATATTCTTACTTGAACGGTATAAGTGAAGAATCCTAGGTCAAGTCCACTGAAGATTAATTTAAATCACCAAAACAGAGATAGATGGCCCCCAATAACTTGCAAGACTTGAGCCAGTTTACAGACTTAGAACCCCTTGAATGAAAGGGGAGACTAGGGAGATTAAATATTATGGCAGAGTAAGTGGATGCTGCATGTTCATGCTCCCAGGAACAAACTGGAATTACAACTAAATACAGAAAAGCTTTCTGAATAATCAACATAAAACTCGCAGGAGAGAACCCTGATACCAGAGGACCAAAAGTTGGAGACCACATAGAGACTGATATGTCATCAGTGAGAAGATACACATCCTCTAACTTTAGAAGAAATTTTGGATGAAACACAACATTTAGATATTCAACTCAAGCAGAAGCAATGGATAATGTCTGAGGCATTAGTCAATAATCCCAAAGTTGAAGTAATAGATGGGAAGTATGCCTTCAAGTCCAAGTACAATTTAAAAGATAAGAAGGCTCTGCTTAGGCTCTCAGATAAGCATGACCAGTGAGGCTTAGGAGGAATTCTTCTAGAAGATGTAGAGGAAAGATTGCCAAATTCCCAGAAAGCTGTCAAGGCTTTAGGGGACCAAATATTATCTGTAAGTCATCCTGATAAGAAGAAAATTCTTTTTTTCAGTGATAAAAGCTGTCAATTTTCTGTGGATGAAGAGTTTCAGAAACTGTGGAGGAGTGTCATTGTGGATTCAATGGAGGAGAAAATTGAATCTGAAGAGACAGAGTATTTCTTCCATGCAGGAATCCGGATCAAAGAAAGTGGTAACCTATTCAAAGAAAAAAAGTCTGCTTCACAGAAGAAAAGAAAAGAAAAAAAAAGAAAAGAAAAAAAAAAAACCCACAATGATTTAAGTCTTATAACGAATACATGGCTGGAGTGCTAAAGGACTACTCTGACATTGCTCCTGGCAAATAGTAAACAGTTTTGTAGGATAAATCAGAATTGGGGAGATCTGGGGGCACTGACCTCAAAGCCTTAGTACCAAACTGTTTTTCCATGTCCGCCATTAAGACCCAGCTCTGCAGATGAGACCAGACTGCTGACCTTAATATAACAGCAGCTAACAGTTTTAAACACTACCTGCCAGCAGTGTGATCAAAATATTCAGGCTACTCTCCCTCTAATCCTCAGAATAATCCTGGAAGCATTTTACCAAAGGGAAAATTGAGGCCTAAGGAGGAATAGTAACTTGCCAAAAATCACATAGCTAGTGGGCAGCCAGCAGAGACAGGATTTGAACCCCTTTGATCTAACTCCAGCGCTAACACTAACTGTTATTTGTAGCAGCAACTCTGCCTCCCTGTGGAAACAGGCACCCTTCACTATTCACTCTGTGTGCTTGGTGGGCAGTCTGGAGAATGAAAGTTCCAGACTAAACTACAAAATGTCACTTGGCCATGTAAGGTCTATTTAGGTCAATCAATACAATCTGAGTGGGGAAGTAAGAGTCTTTGATGTCACAGGCTTTGGGACCAACCAACCACAGGTGAAGTCTCTTTCCCTCATCTATTCCCTCAGTCTCACAAGCTCTCCGTGCACATACTCTAAGAGTCACAACTCCTTTGCAGCTCTCAACCTGCTATGGCTCTCCTGGGACAGGAAGGTCAGAAACTGCTCCTGCATCAGTAGCTCTAAGATCTGCTTCATGGTGTGCATCTCGGTCCAAAGCCACCAAACCATGGCAAAGCTCCAGGAGCCACCTAAGGGTTTCTCCAGGGGCCAACGGCAGAACCCACAGAAGTGCAGACAGAAGGCCTTCATGCTGGCCCTTTGGTCAGCAGGGACAGCTCCTGGCTCCATGTGCAGGAATATCTTCAGTTTTACAATCAGGAGCCCTTTTTGCTCCTGGGAGCCCAAGTCAGGCCATTGTCAGACTCATGGATTATTTTGGCCTTGAAATCAACCTCAACTGCAGGCAAAATTTTCCTTAGCACCTCTTGCAATAAAAAACAGCATGTGCAGGAGTCAGTGTTGCAGAGGCTTTGTGTCCCAGCCCATAAACCCAACTCTATCCCTGGCAGAGCTGTTTCCAATACTTTGGTTTCTGAGGGTTTGGAGATGTGATGCACCCACCTGCTTATATTGTTTCCATCAGGGTCCATGAAAAGGCACAATGGCAGATAGATCTCTACTCTCTGTCTTAAACCCATGCAGGACTGGATACTGCTCTCACATCAGCACTAAAGTCTGATGTCCAAAAAACAAATAGTACTGGCTCCAAGCCAAAGTGATGACAACTTTACCAAATGACAACATAGCATCTGACTGCCCTACAACTTACCACTGACCACCCGGAAGGGAAAATCTGACTCCATGAGTGGGACCATCAAGGACCAATTGAAAAACAATAGAGGTGGGGCATCGGACAAACATCAAAACCATAGATGCCTCTGATGGTAGCTGAAAGGTGAGAGAAATAGAAGGGTTAGATAGGTGGACGCTCTGGTCTTTAAGAGAAGAAAATACAAAGTTAGATCAAGGCCATTATGAGCTGTGAATCAAAGAATAGAGTCACAAAGAAAGCTTATTAAAATGGAAATTCTAGCTCTGGCTGGTGTGCCTCGGTTGGTTGGAGTGTCACCCAGTACTGTGAATTCTAGAGCTATGGCAAGATCCAGTGCCTCAGAGTGTTGTGATGGGTCCCAGAAATATAATTTTTTATTTTTATTTTTTAATATATTTTATTGATTTTTCACAGAGAGGAAGGGAAAGAGATAGATAGCTAGAAACATCGATGAGAGAGAATCATCGACCAGCTGCCTCCTGCACACCCCTCACCGGGGACGTACCGGCAACTAATGTATATATATGCCTTAGACCAGAATCGAACCTGGGACCTTTCAGTCCGCAGACCCACGCTCTATCCACTGAGCCAAACCGGTCTCGGCAGAAATATAATTTTTAAAACAAACTGTGCCTAGAAATTCATCCTACATATAGAGGTTTGAGAATTACTGGGCACATCATAATAGATTTTCAGGAGGGCAATGTGGACTTCAAGAAGGACTTTATCTGCTGAGATGAACTCCCCATGGTCAACACAGGGCCCAAATTTAATAAATAATAAGAGTTTGCCAGCTATTTGCTGGCAGGGGTTTCCTCAGGGGAATTCAGACTGAACTCTGAGCTTCCAGCACAGTGCCTGGTTTGTGACATCTCAGTCAACCACTACAGGGAAACACTGGTTTTCTCTTTGCTCCCTTTGACTGAGAACTGCCCTGTCCATTCAGAACTTCATATTTGGATACTTCAGTTACATAAAGCAGACATAATTGAGAATCTGAGCAAGAACTTTCACTATAAAAGACAGCCTCCCCTTTGTCTCAGTGGAGGAAAATAGAAGTTGCTACCTAAATCTGTGTCTCCTGAGCTGCAGCTCCTTGGGGGCAAATAAAAGCATTTTGTTCTTTATTACAGTCTAAAATTTATTTTGGTTTCCATTCCCAACCGCTCCTAGTATTCTGGAGCTGCAGGGAGAGAAGCCCTGGCTAGGATCAAGAAAATGACAGGCCCCACCCAACCCCCTGGGACTTAGAGGCCTCGAAGACCGGAAATGGAATCCTTTCCAAAGAAAAGCTCCAGCCCCTCGAACGTCAGCAATCTTCCATCCACATCCCCCACCCGCAGGGAAGGGTGGCCTGCGGCCTGCTGGGAGTTGCAGTCCGCCGCGTGGCCCCACGCCTGCGCACTGGATACTGCACCAAGCGAGCTGGGAGAGCCGTGGGCGCCCAGGCGGTGAGTCCCGGTGCGTCCGGAGGGCGTGGCCGTCCCTGGGGCGCGGGGAGTGGGGCTCCCTTCCCTTATGGGCTCCAAAAATTTGCAGCCTCCAGGCCTGACCTGGTGGCGGGCCCCTGTCCCGCCTGGGTCCCCGCTGCCGCTCCTTGAGACCCGGCTGGGCCTTCCCGGGGGTCCTCTGGGGCTGGCGTCGCCCCTCCAGGAAGCGACACATCTACGCCTGGAAGAGCGCTGGGGCCGCGCCCTTGGCCACCAGCATTCGATTTTAAACCGGCTTTTAGGCATTTAGGGACGTGTCCCCCTATCCTTTCCCCTGGTGCCCTCTTTTCACAACGCCCAGTGCCTCTTTCCGCCCATCTCTCTATCCACGGCCCGGTGAGCGCGGGCTCATTCCGGAGGGTTTGGAGAGAAGCCATCAGCCCCGAGGGGAAGTGAAGTTTTCATCCGGAAGGGCCGATGGGAGGAAACCCGGAGGGTCCATTCCGTGGGAGACGTGGGGTAAGGTTTGGATCAGTAAGGGAAGAGCTGCCCAGCTGTGAGGCTGGAGTACACGAAAGGTGGGTCCACAGATTTAGCCGTCAGGGTTCCTGGATGCCCTCCAGCGACCCTTAAGTACCTACTCGGGGGAATAGAAGCTTTAGAAGCTTTCTAGCAACGAGTTCTCGCGAGCAGAGCTGTCTCTTGGCCGGGCATATTGCGGTTCCCTTTCTATCCAATTGGATCGGTCAAAGACAATTTTATGAAGAGGATTTTACAAAGAGGCACAGGGTGTCATTTAAGAAACTAGCCCCGGGATGAAATGGGAACAGAGTGAAGTTTTTTGGTTTTTTGTTTTTGTTTTTTAAATATATATTTTATTGATTTTTTTACAGAGTGGAAGAGAGAGGGATAGAGAGTTAGAAACATCAATGAGAGAGAATCATCGATCAGCTGCCTCTTGCACACCCCCCACTGGGGATGTGCCCGCAACCAAGGTACATGCCCTTGACCAGAATCGAACCTGGGACCTTTCAGTCCGCAGGCGGATGCTCTATCCACTGAGCCAAACCGGTTTCAGCCAGAGTGAAGTTTTTGAATGACCAGACAGGAAGAGATTCAGGGTTTTGTTTGTTGGTTTGTTTTGTTTTCCCCTTGATCCAGTCCAGGAAAGGAGACCTGTATGTGAGCTGTGTGGGTAGATTCAGAGAGGACCCATAGCACACGGGCAGGTACCAGTCTTCATACCTTTGCAGACATGTATGTTACCACCTATGTAACCTTGGAGTTTGCACTAAGGACATTTGGATGTTTGTAGACATGAGCATTGCAGGAGTCGATCGTTTCTAACCTCATCACCATTTCTCTGACATTTGCTATGGTTCCTGGGACATGCTATTCAGTCCTCTGAAGCCTCAAGCCTCAGTGCCCTCATCTGTATTCAGGGCATAATACCAGTGCCCACCTCCTAATATTGGGTGAGGGCTAAATGGCTTAGAACAGCACCTGGCACTTAGCATGCTGAACATGATGATAACTGTCCTTCATTATTAATGCAGACCAAATTCTTGATGGCCTGCCCTGTGCAGTGTAATTTTCTCACGAGAAAGCCACTTGGAATGCATTGCATGATGAGGTTCATGGTGATGTTGGCTGAAGTACACATACCTGAAGTGGAGGAGAATGAGGCATTGATGAGTTGCTGCCTTTGCAAGGCATGGCTCTCCCTAAGATGACTGAGGGTTACTCAAAGCTAGGTTAACTTTCAGGTTTGCTCACCTCTATTGTAAGTACTGCTCCCTGGTATTTTTTCTTTGGCTTATCTATATTCAGAAACACAAAAAAATTGTTACTAGACTAAGAGTGAAGATAGTGGCCACCAGATGTACGGTATATGGGTTCATTTAAGGGAAGATATTCTTAGCCCTGGGTCCAGGAATTCTAGAAAAGAGCTGTACAGTAGAACTTCCTGCAACAGTGTCTACTGAGCATTTGAAATGTGAATAGTATAAATAGGAAATTGATTTTTATATTTAAATACTTTAAGCTTAAACTGCCACATGGGACTATTGTCCACCATATTGGACAGAACAATTCTTGAGGGTACATGGATGGTCTTGAAGTTTTAGTGAACTTTTTGAAACTGGATGCAGAATTTGAAGTGCTCTGTGTCTTTTTCTAGGAAGTGAGTCCATTGCTTTCATCAGATTTCTCAGAATCACTGAAAATATTGCCACCTGCTACTTTAGAGCTTTGCTGAAAAGCAAGCAATTAAGGGAGATGGAGAATGCCCTGTTAACCACTGCTCTTTCTCCTTTCTCATTTGACCTTTCCTCAGCTTTAGATCCTCCACCCAAGAAATATACAAAGAAACAAATTGGAGTCTGAGACTTTAGGCCCAGATAAATTGGACACTTCGGGAAAGGGGCAATGGCTGTTGCCCTGGGTTGTGCAATCCAGGCCTCCTTGAATCAGGGCTCGGTGTTTCAAGAATATGATACTGACTCTGAAGTCTTCCGTCAGCGCTTTAGGCAGTTCCAGTACAAAGAAGCAGCCGGGCCTCATGAAGCTTTCAACAAACTTTGGGAGCTTTGCTGTCAATGGCTGAAGCCAAAGCTGCGTTCCAAGGAGCAAATCCTGGAGCTCCTAGTGTTGGAGCAATTTCTAACAATTTTGCCCACAGAGATAGAGACCTGGGTGAGGGAACATTGCCCAGATAATAGAGAAAGAGTTGTATCGCTGATAGAAGACTTACAGAGAGAACTTGAGATACCAGAGCCACAGGTAAGAAAAGAGTTTGGGATCTGGGTAACTATTCTAAAAGAAGTAGCAGACACATCTGGTACTAGATCAGCCATTTTGTCTTTTGTCCCAGGACCTCATTGCAGTGATTTATATATTTTCCTTTTGTTGGAATCAGCAAATGGCTCCGTGATTCTCAATTACCAAACCAAACTCTTTAAATATTTGGTTGTGTCCCTTTTACTGTCCCATAGATAGTATAATCTACTTATATACACAAAATCAAAACCATCATATAATAAGTGCTCTGTGGCTTGTGAGCCAAAAACAGCCCAAGGTCTGTTTTTATACAGCCCATGAGCTAATCACAGTTATTACCTTTTTAAAGTATTGTGTGTTTTTTTTTTTAAAGAATAGGCAACAGACCAACACAACCCAGAAAGCCTAAAATATTTACTATCTGGTTCTTTCCAAAAAGTTCTGCCAACCATAAGCCAAGTAGGGTTTAGAAGTAATATAAAAGAAAAGGAAGATAGTGTCCTATGAACTAATGGGCATGTCAGCATTCACATGTCTGGGCTTGAGCACACCAGAAGACCTCGTGAAGTTGTCAGATGCTTGCCTTACTGCACAGACTTGCTGTGAAGGCAACAAGCAGAAATTCAGACCAATATAACACACATTATAAATGGTGTTGCTGCTGGTCATGTGATTTTCCAAAGTGACAAACAACTTTGTTTAATCTGAACAATTAGTATAGTACTTCTTTGATTTTCAAATTATTGCTTTCCTAGAAAAGTTAAGTCAAGCTAAAATTTACAAAAATATTGTGTGATTATATGACCAATAAGGTGAGGTTCTTGACAGATTCCATTTACCTATATGAATATTTGAGGGGGGCAATCCAAAGTTGGTAAGGACCTGGAACAATTCAGCACTGCGTGCATTATATTACACTCCCATCTCTGCCAACTAACATCATTGATGAGAGAGAACCATGGATTGGCTGCCTTCTATATGCCCCCCTACTGGGGATCGAGCTTGTAACCTGGGCATGTGCCCTTGACTGGAATCAAACTCAGGACCCTTCATTCCACAGGCCAGTGCTCTACATACTGAGCCAAACCAGCTAGGGCTATTGGGTTGATTCTTGTATGTGCCTTGACCAGGCATCAAACCTGTAACCTTGGTGTATTGGGACAACACTCTTAACTGGGCTACCTGACATTATCTATATACTACCAACTCTGCCCACTAAATTCTGATAGCCACCACCTACTACAATAGCTAAAATAACTCCTGGGGATGGTGGCCCTACCCTCTTTCAGAACCACCTAATAAAACCTTTTTGGGGCTTGCTATAGCTGAGCACAGGACAGCATCTTTGGAGAAGGGAGGTGGTGCTTCTAGTTAGGCATTAGTGACACTGGAGTCTTGTGTGTTGATGGGATTCTGTAGTTAGCCTTCATGAACAGGATTCTTCCAAAGTTTCCTGACCCTAGGATAGAATAGTTTATAGTTTCCCTTCCTTTCTGTGTCTCCTTGTTTGGCTTACCACATGAAATTTTGTCTTCATGCAGTCTAATCCTGCATTGCCAGTATGATAGGCACCAGCCAAAGGTGGTTCTTGAGCACTAGAAATTTGGCTAGTCCAAATTGGGATATGCTGTAAGTATAAAATGCACACCACATTCAGAAGACTTAAGGTGAAAAATAAAGTAGGTGAAATATATTATTAATAATTCTTCATACTGATTACATTATGAAATTGTGTTATTTTATATATGTATATTTTGTTAATGCATATTATTATTTTTTCTTTTTTTTTCATATGACCACTGGAAAATTTAAAATGACTTTGTTGGCTTGCATTATATTGCTCCTGGGCACTGATGGTCTAGATATTAGAGTGATGGGTTCTGGCATTTTCCCCAGATTGATAGGCAGGAACTACTCTTGGAAGACCTCGAAGCAGTTGGAATAGCAGACATATCACCAAACATCCACGTGGACGTACCCCCACTCCAAGCACTGGGACCTGTCCCCGAGCCCCCGATCGTAGATGCGTGGATCCCACAGGAGCTGAGCTACGGTGCTGCTGGGGAAGGCCAGTCCTTTCTGGACCCTGGTAAACCAAAGATTTTGTTTCCTTTCCTTGATTTCTTTTTGAGAACTCGGGAGCTATCCAGGGTTTGGCTTGGTTAGAAACACAGAGTAAGGGATGGAAATGGATAAAGAGTAAGTGTGGAAACGTCTCTCTGAGAATAGCTAGCCACAAAACATGTTAGATTAACTGGGATTCAAGAAGTTTATTTTTCACTTTTTTTAGTGCAATAAACATAATAATATATTGACTTCTTAACCATTTTTGCATGTACACTTCAGTGGTAATGAATATACTTATAATGTTGCAAAACCATCACCACTACCTATGTCTACAACTATTTTCATCTGTAAAACTGAAACTTTGTACCCATTTACACAATAACTGCTCATTTCCACCTCCCCCAACCCCTGAATGACCATTTAAATGTTTGTCTCTATGAATTAGACTACTCTATGTACCTCATATAAATGGAATCATATAGTGTTTGTCTTTATTTTTTTTAATATATTTTATTGATTTTTTACGGAGAGGAAGGGAGAGAGATAGAGAGCTAGAAACGTTGATGAAAGAGAAACATCGACCAGCTGCCTCTTGCACCCCCCCTACCGGGGATGTGCCTGCAACCAACGTACATGCCCCTGACCGGAATTGAACCTGGGACCTTTCAGTCCGCAGACCGACGCTGTACCACTGAGCCAAACCGGTTTCGGCTAGTGTTTGTCTTTTAGAGACTGTTTCATTCACTTAGTGTAATGTCCTCAGGGTTCATTCATGTTGTAGTATATGTCAGAATTTCTATTCTTTTGAAAGTTGGATAATATTCCATTGTGCATATATATTATATTTAATATATCCATTTTTCATAAATGTGTATTAGGTTGCTTCTGTGTTTTAGCTGTCATGAGTAATGCTTCCCTGAGTAGGGTGTGAATCTCTTTGAGACCCTGCCTTTACTTCTTTTGGGTATATAACCAGAAGTAGAATTGCTTGATCATATGATTATTCTATTTTTAAACTTTTGAGGAACCATCATACTGTTTTCCACAGTGGATGTAAATGTACCATTTTACATTCCCACTAACTGCACAAGCTTTCCAATTTTTCCACATCCTTGCTAACACTTGTTATTTTCTGATTGTTGGTTTTTTTTTTTAATAATAGCATTCCTAATGGGTATTAGGTGGTATCTTAATGTAGTTTTTTTTTTTTTTTTAATCCTCACCCGAGGATATGTATTTTTATTGACTTTTAGAGAGAGAGAAAGGGAGAAAGAGAGAAACATCTATGTGAGAAATATCAATCAGTTGCCTTTCTTACATGCCCTGAGCGGGTATCTACCTCACAACCTAGGTATGTGCCCTATCTGGGAATTGAACCCGTAAACTTTTAGTGTGTGGGACAATGCTTCAACCAACTGAGCCACCTGGCCAGGGCTAATTGTAGTTTTGACTTGCATTTTCTAAATGATTAATGACATTGAACACCTTTTCATGTGATTTTTGGTCATGAATATATCTTTTTTTTTTTTAGTTTTTGTTGTTTTACATTTTTATTGAATTTATTGGTGTGACATTGGTTAATGTAATTATATAGGTTTCAAGTATACAATTCTAAAAGACATCATCTTTACATTATATTGTGTGCACAACCCAAAGTCAAGTCTCCTTCCATTACCATTTATCTGGACTTTACCCTCTTCTACTCTCCCCATCCCCCTTTCCTTCTGGTAATCACCATACTGTTGTCTGTGTCTGTGAGTTTTTTGAGTGGTTTTTTTTTGTTTGTTTGTTTTGTTTTTTACTTAAGAATGTCTATTCAGTCCTTTGCACATTTTTTAATTGGGTTGTTTGGTTTTCTTTGTTGAATTTTAAAGTTCTCTTATTATGGGTATTAATTCCTTATCAAATACTAGAGGCCCAGAGCACGAAATTTGTGCACGGGTGTGTGTGCCCCTCAGCCCAGCCTGCACACTCTCTAATCTGGGACCCCTTGAGGGATGTCCAATGTCTACTGGGATCAGGCCTAAATGGGCAGTCGGACATCCCTCTCAAAATCCAGGTCTGCTGGCTCCCAACTGCTTGCCTGCCTGCCTTCCTGATTGCCCCTCACCACTTCTGCCTGCCAGCCTGATCACCCCCTAACCATTCCCCTGCCAGCCTAATTGATGCCTAATTGCTCCCCTGCCAGCCTGATTGCCCCTAACTGCCCTCCCCTGCAGGCCTGGTCACCCCTAACTGCCCTCCCCCGTAGGAGTGGTCACCTCTAACTACACTTCCCTGCGTGCCTGGGTCCCCCCCAACTACCCTTCTCTATAGGCCTGGTCCCTCCCAACTGCCCTCCCCTGCTGACCATCTTGTATCGGCCATCTTGTGTCCACATGGGGGCAGTCTTCTTTGACCACATGGGGTCAGCCATCTTATGTGTTGGAGTGATGGTCAATTTGCATATTACTCTTTTATTAGATAGGATAGAGGCCTGGTGCATGGGTGGGGGCCATCTGGTTTGCTCTGAAGGGTGTCCTGGATCAGGGTGGGAGTTCCCTTGGGGCATGGGGTGGCCTGGGCGAGGGGCCTGTGGTGGTTTGCAGAACAGCCCCCCTGCAACCCAAGCGGAGGCCCTGGTATCTGGGATTTAATTTCTATAATTGAAACTTTGTAGTCTTCAGCAGAAGCCAGGGCAGGCCAGGAACTTGGCTTCCTCCATCGCCGGGGAAACCCAAGCCTCCTGTTCACTCCGTGGCCTCAGCCATTTTTGATGGGATTTATTTATCTTCTATAATTAAAACTTTGTAGCCTTGACCAGAGGCCTGGACTGGCCAGGGTGTGCAGGAAGTTTGGCTTGGGAAACCCAAGCACCCTGCTTGCTCTGTGGCCACAGCCATTTTGGTTGGGTTAATTTGCATAACTGCTCCTGATTGGCTGGTGGGCGTGACTTCTGGGTGTAGTGGAGGTATAGTCAATTTGCATATCACTCTTTTATTAGATCGGATATGATTTGTAAATACTTTTTGCATTCTGTGGGCTTTTTTACTCTGTTGACACTGTCTTCAGATGAACAAATGTTTAATTTTTTCATGAAGTACTGTGTCTACTTTTTCTTTTATTGCCTGCGCTTTTCTTGTTATATCCAAGTAAACATTGCCAAATGAAATGCCGTTTAACTTTTGCCCTATTTCTTCTAAGGTCTTACTTTTAGGTCTTTGATCCATAGTGAGCTAATTTTTGCATATGGTGTTAGGTAAAGGTACAACTTTATTTATTTATTTTTGTGTGTGTGTGCGTATTCAGTTTTTCCAGCATCATTTCTTGGAAAGATTGTCTTTTCTCCATTTGATGATCTTGGTATCTTCGTTAAAAGTCATTTGACCATATATTTGATGGTCTCCCTCTGGGCACTCTATTCTAATACATTTATCTGTATGTCTGTCTTTATGTCAGTACCAAACTGTTTAGATTACTGTAACTTTATAGTAAATTTTTTAAATCAGGAAATGTGAGTCCTCTAACTTTGTTCTTTCTTTTCAATATTGTTTTGTCTATTTGAGGTTTCTGGAGGCTCCATATGAATTTTAAAAGGGGTTTTTCTTTTTCTGTAGAATATGTCATTTGGATTTTGATAGATTACAGTGACCCTATAGACCATTTTGGATAATGTTAACATCTTAACAATATTAAATCTTCTAATCCATGAACATAGAATGTATTTCCATGTATGCATTCTTTAATTTCTTTTACCAATGTTTTGTAATTTTCATTGTACATTTTTCATCTACTTGTTCAAATTAGTTCCTAAGTGTTTTATTCTTTTTGATGCTGTTATAAATTGAATTGTCTTCATAATTTCCAGGAAATTTTTTTTATTACAGATTAAAAATCTCCTTGCTAATTCTAGGTCTATTGAGATTTTTGCTTCTTTATGATTTAGTCTTGGTAGGTTTTGTGTTTATAATTGTCCATTTCATTTGGTTAACAAACTTGCTGACATACTATTTTTCATAGTACTCTCTTATAATTCTTTTTAGTTATATAAAATCGTTGGTAATGCCCCTACTTTCATATTTATTTTAGTGATTTGAGCCTTATCTCTTTTTTCTTAGTCCATTTAGCTACAGGTTTGTCAACTTTGTTGATTTTTGTTTTTTTTAAACAGCTTTTGGTTTCATTGATTTTTTTCTAGTCTCTATTTTATTTATCTCTACTCAGTCATTAATGTTTCCTTCTTTCTGCCAACTTTGGGTTTAGTTTTTTGTGTCTTTTCTTTCTTTTCTTCATTCCATAAATTGTGAAATTATGTTGTTTTGGGGTCTTTCTTGTTTATTAATCTAAATATTTATATACAGGGTGGGGCAAAAGTAGGTTTATAGTTGTTAGTTCATGAAACAATTTATTCTTCTATTATTATTTATTAATTTTTTAATTATTTCCCATAGGAACTATAAACCTGTTTTTGCTCCATCCTGTATAGCTATAAATTTCTCCCTTAGCACTGTGTTCATTGTGCCCCTTAAGTTTGGATATATTGAGTTTTCATTTTCATTTATCTCTAAGTATTTTCTAATTTCCCTTGTGATTCCTTCTTTGATCCATGGGTAGTTTAAAACTGTGTTATTTATTTTTCACATATTTGTCAATTTCCCCATTTTCTTTCTGTTATTGTTTTTTAACTTCATCCTATTGTGGTATATCTATCTTTTGAAATCAATTGAGAGTAATTTGTGCTCTAACATATGATCTACACTGAGTGGCCAGATTATTATGCATTCAGAGATCATAATAATCTGGCCACTCAGTCTATATCCTAGATATATAGGGTATCCCCCAAAATGTATATACACTCTTTGAATAATTATAAAGGCAGTGTTAATTAAAATAAATTTTATTTTTTAAATTGAGCTGTCAGTTGTAAAAGTGTGTGTACATTTTTTGGGGCACCCTGTATATTACCAATGGGGAGGAAGTTCTATCATTTTGCTATTTGTTTTCTATATGTCTTATAGCTTTTTTGTTCCTTATTTTCTACATATCTTTTGGATTTAGTTGGTTGTTTTATATCAAATGCTTAAATTCCTTTATCATTTATTTTTGCATTTATTGTATGCCTGTTTTCTTTTAATCTGTAATCAAAGTGGTTTCTATGGAGATTACACTTAACATCCTAAAGTTATGTTCTAATTTGAATTCATAACATCTTAGTTACAATAACATCCCCAAACTCCACTTTTTTACAGCTCCATCCTTACTCAGTTGTCACAAAACTAAATTTTTATAGAATATGTGCCCCAAAACAAATTAACTATTTTAAATGCATTCTTCTCTTAAATTATATAGAATATAAAATGTGAATTACAAATAAGTTACCATAATACTACACTTAGATAATTTTGTTTTTAAAAATATATTAGTCATTTAATTTATGTAGAAAACAAAAAGTAGAATTATAAATAATTGTTACAATAATAATAGATTTTATAATTGTCTACCTATTTACCTTAATTGAGATATTCATTTCTTCATGTGGCTTCAAGTTACTGTCTAGTGTCCTTTTTATTTCATCCTGCAAGACTCCCTTGAGCATTTTTTCACATCAGGTCTAGAGGTAATGAACATCCTCAGCTTTTGTTTATGTGGGAATGCCTTAATTTCTCCTTCACTATTGAAGGACAGTTATGCTAGATATAGGATACGATTCTTGGTTGACAGTTAATTTATTTTAGTACTTTGAATATTTCAGCCCACTGCTTTCTGACCTCCAAAGTTTCTGATGAGAAATCTGCATATTTTCTTATTAAGCCTCCATTGTATGTAATGAGTTTCTTCTCTCTGGTGCTTTCAAGATTCTCCCTGTCTTTGGCTTTTCAGAGTTTGATTATAACATACCTTGGTGTGAGTCTCTAAGTTCATCTTACTTGGAGTCTGTTGAACTAATTAAATGTTTATATTCATGTCTTTTCTTCAAATCTGGGAACTTTTAGCCATTATACCTTCAAATATTAGCTAGTAATTGTATATCTAATTATAAATCTTTCTGCATATGCATTTCCATTCCCCATGTTAATTCGCTTAGCAACAGTGCCAGGTAGGAAGATCACATATAATGCTGAGAAATACTACTGCTCTTGATTTTAATACTTTCCAAAGCACAGGAAAATCTAGTATATTTATCATGGGAAAGATAGAATGAATTTTAAAAGTAAAATATTGCCCTAGCTGGTTTGGCTCAGTGAAGAGAGAGAGCATCGGCCTGCGGACCCAAGGATCCTAGGTTCAATTCTGGTCAAGGGCACATGCCTGGCAGGCTCAGTCCAATGTGCAGGAGGCAGCCAATCCAATGTGCAGGAGGCAGCCAATCAATGATTCCCTCTCATCATTGATGCTTCTATCTCTCTCTTCCTCTCCCTTCCTCTCTGAAATAAATAAAAAAATTAAAAAAAAATAAAAAGTAAAATATACCAATAAAGAGTAGAAGAAACTACCTCTTTCTCATCACTCTTAAAGTGATATATTATGCTTTTCAAAATGATGTACTTACTAATCCATAATTTATTTATTTTTTTCATTTATTTATTTTTTTTAAATAAATCTTTATTGTTCAGATTATTATAAATGTGATCCTCTTCCCCCCCTCAATTGATCCCCTTCACCAGGTTCCCACCCCACCTTCTGTCCTTTCCTCATCCCCCATTGTCCTCATCCATAGGTGCACAGTTTTTGTTCAGTCTCTTCCCGCACCCCCACTCCCCTTTTCCCTGAGAATCGTCAGTCCACTCCCCTTCCATACCTCTGATTCTATTATATTCACCAGTTAACATTGTTCATCAGATTTTTAAATTCCCTTGGTTTTTAGATTTACTTGTTGATAGCTACGTATTTGTTGATCATAATTTTTATCTTTATCTTCTTCCTCTTCCTAAATAACCTCCTTCAGCAATTCATATAATTCTGGTTTGGTGGTGATGAACTCTTTTAGCTTTTTTTTATTTGTGAAGCTCTTTATCTGTCCTTTGATTCTGAGTGATAGCTTTGCTGGGTAGATTATTTTTGGCTGTAGGTTCTTGTTATTCATCACCTTGAATATTTCTTGCCATTCCCGTCTGGCCTGCATGGTTTCTGTTGAGAAATCAGCTGACAATCTTATGGGTGCTCTTTTGTAGGTCACTACCTGCTTTTCTCTTGCTGCTTTTAATATTCTCTCTTTGTCTTTTGCTCTTGGAATTTTAATTATGATATGTCTTGGTGTGGTCCTCCTTGGATTCCTTTTGTTTGGGATTCTGCGGGCTTCCTGGACTTGTAAGTCTATTTCTTTCCCCAGGTGGGGGAAGTTTTCTGTCACTATTTCTTCTAGTACTCTTTCGGTATCTTGCTCTCTCTCTTCTGGAATCCCCATAATTCTGATGTTGGTTCGCTTGAAACCCAGAGGTTTCTTACACTATCTTCAACTTTCTGGATTCTCTTATCTTCTCCCTTCTGCAGAGGAGTGTCCTCTGGCTCTTTGTGTTCTAAATCTTTGTCTTGATTCTTGTGATCTTCCAGTCTGTTTTTAGGACTTTGTATAATATTTTTTATTTCAGACAACGTTTTCTTCATTTCTTGTTGATCCCTTATTATTTCTAGTTGCTCCCTTTTCATATCCTCATAGGTCTCATTTATTTTATCGGCCTTTTTTAGGATATTGTTGAATAACCTTATAACTGTAGTTTTGAACTCAATGTCCAATCTTTTCTTTTCCTCCATCTCCTTCCTTTGTGTTCTTCTTCTTGTCTGCATTTTAGTTGTTTCCCTGATTTGATAGAATAGCTTTGTGTGCTAGGTGTTCTGGTAGAGCCCAGTAGCACAGCCTTCCCAGTTACCTGCAGTGGACAGTCTTGGTGTAGCCCTTTGTGGGCTGTGTGTGCAGTCTTGTTGTTAAGCCTTGCTTATTGTTGATATCACTGGGAAGCGTTGATCTCCAAGCCAATTGGCTGTGAGGATCAGCAGTATCTCCTAATCCATAATTTAAACATTAATTCTACTTTTACTGCTTTTTTAATAAAAGTGAAAACAATGGATTTATGACATGAAGCACATCCAATTTTAGGCTGAGTGGAAAGAACAGCTGGCAAAGTGGAAGAATAAATTTCAAACTAATGGAAATAAGTCAAATGATTTTATATTAAAGTTTGGAATATACTCTCTGTCAGCAAAAAGTAAAGCTGTTGGTATATATGAAATGGAAATACACACACACACACACACACACACACACACACACTTCTTTATCCACTCATCTGTCAATGGACACTTAAATTTTTTTCCATATCTTGGCTATTGTAAATAATGCTGTACTGAATGTAAGGGGTGGCTATATATTTCCAAATAAGTGTTTTCATAATCTTCAGATAAGTACCCAGAAGAGGAATTGCTGGTCCGTCTTTTACTTTCATTCTATTTGTATCTTTGAATATGAAGTGTGTCTCCTGCCGAAATCGGTTTGGCTCAGTGCATAGAGCATCGGCTTGCGGACTGAAAGGTCCCAGGTTCGATTCCGGTCAAGGGCATGTACCTTGGTTGTGGGCACATCCCTGATAGGGGGTGTGCAAGAGGCAGCTGATCGATGATTCTCTCTCATCGATGTTTCTAACTCTCTATCCCTCTTTCTTCCTCTCTGTAAAAAAATCAATAAAATATATTAAGAAATAATAATAAAATGTGTCTCCTAAAGACAGCATATAGTTGGATTTTTAAATCTCTGTCTTTTGATTGAGTTGTTTAATATGAATTATTAAACATTTAATCTTGTTTTGATATAATGTTCTAAAATTTAAATCTCCATCTAACTAGCTTCCTAATGTTATTTTAATAGTGCTGATATGTAAAGATCATTCTGCATTTAGATATCAAATCATCAGTTTCTAACCCACATGTTATTACACATCATGTTACTGCACACAATATTCTTTGACAGCTGAAGAAGGCAAAGAAGGGGTGTAGAAAAGAAGATTTGAGCTACAGGGGCTCTCAATGAGGAGAAGGGTGGTAGGATGTAAGGGGAACAACAATAATAGAAACATCTCTTGTTCTTGGATTGACAGTGAGAAACACTATTTGATGGACATTTGGGTTAATTTCAAAAGAATCCATTTCTAGACTTTAGTTGAAACAAACAAAATCTGCTTTTGCTGGTGGTTAAACCACTCAATTTCCTTTAAAAAAAAAATCCTTACTCTAGGATATTTGTCCATTGATTTTAAGAGCATGGGAGAGGGAAAGACAGATAAATATCGATGTGAGAGAAACACATCATCTGTTGCCTCCTACACAAGCCCTGACTAGGGCCTCAGGCCAGAGAGGAGCCTGCAACCAAGGTGTGTGCCCTTGACTGGAATCGAACCCGGGACCTTTCAGTCCACAGGCCGACACTCTATCACTGAGCCAAACTGGCTAGGGTTCAATTTCCATTTTAATTTGAAAATCTCTACTAAAATTATTTCAGTAAACAGTTTTTTAACTCCTACTTTTACCTCTCTTCACTTGGTACTCTGTAATAGCATTTGTTTTAATATGCCAAAACTTTATGAAGATTTACTTCATATTTTGGCTCTAACCTAAACGAATCTATATCAAATTGATTCAGAAGTAATTTAGGACATGATTTCAGCATAGAATCAATGCCCTCTCCTTCCGTAGACTAGAGGAGAATAGTTTTGAATTGAGCAAAAAGGATGTTCTCTCTGTTTTCTTCTTTTAAAAGACTCTTTCACAAGATTCCGGTGAAATAATAGTAATTAAGGTAGAAGTAGATATTAAGTGGCTATATGTCCAAGATATCAGCCTGAACTCTGGAAAAACCATTAATAACACAAACAATTATGCTTTTCATCTTTCTAATGGCCAGGATATTCATTACCAAAGCTTGATGTGAGCTTTCCATTGGAGCATAGAGAAGATGCATGGGTGAAAGAGCTACAAGATTCCAAAGAAATTAAACAATTACTTGAATCCAAGATAGGTAAGTAATTGTTCATTGATACTAGAGAAGAAAGAAAAGAAAAATTCATCCTTAATCAGAGTAAAGAGTTTTGGCTTCTATTTAGTAATTTCTGTATCTCTACTGATGGTTTACTATAACTCTTCATTTTCTTCATGTTCTTTTCTCAGTGGGACACAGTGACATCTGCAGTTTCTGTTTTCTTCTCCTAGGTTTTGAGATTGGGATAGAAAATGAAGAAGATACTTCAAAGCAGAAAAAACTGGAAAATATATACCCATTTCTTGTTTCCTTAGAGGATAATGCTAATCATGATCCCATTTTGCAAAAAGATTATGTACAGTTAGAAAATCAATGGGAAAAACCCCCAGAGGATTTACAGACAGATTTGACAAAACTTATAGATCATCAGAATCCCTCTATAGGAGAGAAACCTGAGAGCTCTAACTTGGAAGAACCTCTCAACCCTAGAACCCATAAGAAAAAGATTCCAGGAGACAAACCTCACAAATGTTCTCAGTGTGGAAAATGTTTTGCCCGGAAGTCACAACTTACAGGGCACCAGAGAATTCATTCAGGAGAGGAACCTCATAAATGCCCTGAATGTGGAAAAAGATTCCTTCGTAGTTCAGACCTTTATAGACACCAACGACTTCATACAGGGGAGAGACCCTATGAATGTACTGTGTGTAAAAAGCGATTCACTCGGCGCTCACACCTTATAGGGCACCAGAGAACCCATTCTGAAGAAGAGACTTATAAATGCCTTGAGTGTGGGAAAAGCTTTTGCCATGGATCAAGTCTTAAAAGACATCTGAAAACTCATTCGGGTGAAAAACCTCATAGATGTCACAATTGTGGGAAAAGTTTTAGTAGACTAACAGCTCTTACTTTGCACCAGAGAACTCACACAGAAGAGAGACCTTTTAAATGTAATTATTGTGGGAAAAGCTTTAGACAGAGACCAAGCCTTGTTATTCATTTAAGAATTCATACAGGGGAGAAGCCATACAAATGTAGTCATTGTTCTAAAAGTTTCAGACAGAGAGCAGGCCTTATTATGCACCAAGTCACTCACTTTAGAGGACTTCTTTAATAATTATTAAAGGAAACAGGTCATGCAGAAATTGGCACTAACTCAAAAATATCTTAACTTGAAGCAGTCTGTCTTGGAAGAATCTTTTTTGTTTGAGCTTATAAGAACAGATTTTCTTTCTTTTACTATCAAAAAACCTATCTTCCAAGGCATGTGAATTCTAGAGTATCCACCTACTCTTGCAACTCATACAACTTTCCTAGATTTGATGTATTCTATCTTTACAGCTCTTACTTTTTAATGAAAATGTTTGTGTCCCAAGCCAACAGTATCATAGATGAAAGCATAAAACATATAGGGTAGGGTCAATATAATGGATAACCATGTCTATCTGATATATAGCAGCATCATAATTATTCTTCTGTCATTATTAAAGGTGGTTATATTAGTTTAAAGCTTTATTTGTGTTCCAAGTGGCAAGAAAGGAGACAGTGTATTATGTTCAAAGAATAAAAATGTGTCAGGAACATATGGATAAAGAGGATTTCATTTGCCTCATAAGAACTGGGTTATCTCCATAGAAAATTTTTATGTTTAAGAAATTAAGATTTTAACTTTCTGAATTTATCAAAATTGCTAATCTTCTTATTTGGTTGTTTGAAGAAATGCAGCTTAGAGCTGTTAGTTTAGTGGTTTATTTTGTTCAGAGAATGAGTAAACTCTAGGTGGAAGAATCCATTCGACAGTTGGTCATACAATTAAAACCTGATTCAAATTAGATTGACTGAGGAGCCAGTGTCCATTGCTTTTTAAAATATATATATTTATTGATTTCAGAGAGGAAGGGAAAGGGAGAGAAAGATAGAAACATAAATGATGAGAGAGACTCATTGATCGGCTGCCTCCTGCACACTCCACATTGGGGATTGAGCCTGCAACCCAGGCATGTGTCCTGACCAGGAATTGAACCATGACCTCCTGATTCATAGGTCTATGCTCAGTCACAGAGCTACGCTAGCCAGGCAGTGTTCGTTGCTTTTTACTATCCTTTGGTATTCAAACATTACTCATCCTTTAATTTAACGTCTCCCTAAGTGTGTGTCATAGAACACTTAGTTCTGTAAGATATTTTGCAAATAAGGTTGGGAATCCCTGCTGTTTCCCCTTTCTAGATTCATAGTGTACATCAGCATATGAGACTCTCTGACAGGTCCTTCAGTAAAGGCAGAAAAAGCAACTCTGTTGGCTCAATTTTTTTACCCTAGGACCCTTTATCGTGTACACCCAAACAATAACCCACAGAACTAGTATTCTGCAAATATCTCTTGGAACACATGCCTTTAACATATATTTCTATAGTTATCAATATAGTCTTATTACTCCCAAGCCTAGTTATCTCCAGTCATTTGAAGGGTGTTATGAAAAATTCTTTACACACATGTTTTTATGTAATACACACATAAACATACACACATTTTAAGGAGGTAAGGCTCACTCAGATACTTTATAAGTTGCTTAGTGATTCTCAACCTCATTGCTACTTATATAAATGTTCTCATATACTCATAGTAATGACTCAAACTCCTATAGCAAGGGAAGAATTCTTTATCAGTTAAAGCTGTTAATACATGAAAATATTCAGCCTAGTTCCTTGTTATAAAGTACAAAAAATAGGACATTCAAGTATTTTCCCTTTATGAAGATACCAGTCATCCTTTCCTTAAACTAGAATTAGGGAAAGTATATTTTTTTCTATTCCACAGAACATCTTAGAAGTCATACTGAAGTATTTTGGGGGTATCTACTTTGTGCCTAACTAGTCCTGTTCTAGGCTTAATGGAAACTAGGAAACAAATTAATTAATGGATCAGGTTCATAAAGAGTTTATATCTTTAATTAAACAAGAGTTGGGAAACAAATGGAGAACAATGCAAGAGAGTTTGTATTAAGTGCCAAATCATATCAAGTGCTAAAGCTAGGATGTGTCTTTAATTATTGTCACCCCAGTCCCTGTATGACGCTGCTATAGATGTGGGATTAAAAATTGAGATCCTAGTAGCAATACAATGTAACATGGGAGGAGTCTGAATGTAGAGATGAAAAACACTGAATGTAATGGCTTCTCTTTTCTCTCTTGTGGAATTGCATTCCAACCAGAATAGTGCCTTAGAATGGATGTGCCCAACTGCTCTGTATCTATGCAATATTTTAATAAAGTGGAAATATATATATGCTCTTTCTGCTTCAATCACATTAACTAATTGTTTGCAAAACTTAGAGCTGCTTCCATGAGCAGTGGCAACAGGCACCACAATTGACTCCTGCCCCTAAGCTGGAATCACTTTACTCTCTGTATTGAATACAGTCAATTTTAGCTAATAGGGTTAGTTGTAGTCATAAAGTGGGCTATATCCTCCCCCTCATCTGTATCATAAACACACCTAACTGGATTTTACAGAATAGAGAACACTCATTATTTTGAGGCACTGAATCAAGAAATACATGAAATAGTTATTGGAAAAAGAGATCATAGAACATTGTATGAGTGTCCCTAATTTTACTTCACAAAAGTAAGGGCAAAATACAGTACAAAAAATACAGTACCCACCTATCTTGTAATCAGTATGAAGAGGAAAAACAGTACCCACCTTATAAGTACTATGAAGATTAAATGAAATATATTTTGTTCAGGCCCTACATAGTGGTAAGCTTTCAATGAATATCCAGCATATTGTGTTTTATTTTTTGTTGTTTAATGATAAAAGCATTTAAGGCTAAGGACTTTCCTATCAATATGGCTTTGGTCACATTCCATAGTTTTTATATATAATGTTTGTATTAATCAGGATTCTCCAGAGAAACAGAAGCCAATAAAAACATAGAGAGAGAGGAAGAAGTTTGTTATAGGAATTGACTTATCTTGTTATGAAGATTGAGAAGTCCCATAATCTACCATCTGCAAGCTGAAGAAAAAGGAAAGGTAACGGTGTCCTTCAGTCTAGAGCACATGTGTCAAACACAAGGCCCGCGGGCCAAATCTGTCCCGCCAGGCCTTGCAATGTGGCCCGCACCGCGCTGTCATCACTGCACTCCGCTGCGTTTCCATCACAATGACAGTTTATGACTGTTCAGTAAACCATTCGGCCCACGATTTAGGCTGGATTTTAGATTTTGGCCCCTTCTCTGATTGAGTTCGACACCCCTAGTCTAGAGGCTAAAGACCTGAGAACCAGGGGATCTGATGGTGTAACTCAGCCAACGTCCTGAGACCTGGGCAGGGGGATATAAATCATGAAATCTGAAAGCCAAAGAACCAGGAGCTCTGATATCTGAAGGCAACAAAAGATGTAGCTCCCAGCACAAGAAGTGATGGAATTCACCCTTCTCTGTCTTTTTGTTCTATTCTGGTTCTCAGTGGATTGGATGATACCCCTCCCCCAACATTGGTGAGGGCAGATCTCTGTACTCACTCTACTCAATCAAACATTAATCTCTTTCAGGAGCACCCTCCCAGACACACCCAGCAATATTTTACCAGCTCTCTGGGCTTCTCTTAGCCCAGTTAAGTTGGTATATAGGATTATTCATCACAGTGTTATTGATAATTTAAAAATTGATATTACTGTATTCATTAATATTCCCTCTTACCCAAGAGCTATACAATATTACCATTTTCCACTTAATTTTTGGTTTTGCTATATTGTGATTAGAAAATATGGTTCATTCTATTTCTGCTTTTAAAGTACATTTAGTGCCAAAACCGGTTTGGCTCAGTGGAGAGAGCGTCGGCCTGCAGACTGAAAGGTCCCAGGTTTGATACTGGTCAAGGGCATGTACCTTGGTTGCGGGCACATCCCCAGTAGGGGGTGTGCAAGAGGCAGCTGATCGATGATTCTCTCTCATCAATGTTTCTAACTCTATCCCTCTCCCTCTCTGTAAAAAAATAAAAATTAAAAAAAATTAAAAAATAAAAATAATAAAGTTCATTTAGTTTTTTAAAGACATTTGATAAAATTTGGTAAGTATCCTAAAAACCCTAGATAATACGAATTCTATCTGTAAGGCACAGGTTCAGAATACAGTATTGGACCTCTCAATTAAGCTAATGTCTTTAGGAGTGTCCTAGTGCTTATGAAGGGATAGTGACACAGAATAGATGACCTTACTCCCCATTCTGAAAACCAGGATCCTGGTATTCTCCATTCCCCTCTTAAGAGTTTTATATTTTTGACCCATTTTATGGATGTCTCATAGCAATTACTAATAGCTTCCCAGCTCTCAAAGCTGGCAGGTAAAGCTGGAAGCTAAAGGACCTAGAGAGACCTAGCCTCTCCATACCACGATGAGGAAGTTCTCCATTGAGATTCCACGGTGGTTTGTCCTGAAAGCAGAGAGATAGTGCAACTCTGCAGCAGTGGTCCTCCTGAATCAGCAGGGATTGTTTCACAGTGTGCTGAGGAGGTTGTCTAGGCCAGTGTTTCCCAACCTTCTCTCATGATGAGAATCACCTGGTGGAGTTGTTAAAACACAGATTCCCGGATCCCAACTAAGAAGTGCTAAACTAGAATTTTTGGGAACATATAGGTAAAATTGCATACCTAACAGTGCTCTGTATATAAAATCTGTCTTAGAGCACTAGTTAAGTATACAATTTTACCTATATGTTCCCAAAAATTCTAGTTTAGCACTTCTTAGTTGGGATCCGGGAATCTGTGTTTTAACAATCCACCAGGTGATTCTCATCATGAGAGAAGGTTGGGAAACACTGGTCTAGGATAAAGTCAAGGCAATCAGGAAATATACAGGTGAATCAGCCCCCAGGTGGCTCACCATCAGGTTGTGAGCAAAGACATTACACTCTGCCCTTTTGCATCTGCAGTCATCATGACATTCTGAAGAGAAACATTCTGGGCACTTCCAAGAAGCTACATGATCTTTGTTCCTGATAACCTCTCTCATTTCTAGCCTAGTCGTATGGGCTGAACATTCTTTTAAAGAACCAAAGCTCACACTTAAAACTTTAGCTGCCCCTGCTTCTCTAGTCCCATTTGACAGATACAGAACAGATGGAAAGGCTCATTTCTTAGTCTTTCCTCAGTATTAGTAATCTGTTTACTCAGCCCCCGATACTGGAATTTTAACTGTTGAGGTTGGGTGTGGTGGTAGATCCTTTTCTCACCAGAATGATGTAAAGTTTAGTCTTTATCTAGCCTTTTCCAGCTTGCGTTGTCAGAAAGGACATCTCAGACATCTAGCAAGGCCTAAGTTCACATTTTTAAGAGTCCAAAGATGTTAAAAAAAAAAAAAACAACAACCAAAAAACAGAACTGTATATCTTCCTTCTGAGTGAGTGAAACCCACCTCAATTCCCAACAGACATGATTTTCAAAAACAAAGTTTTATCACCAAGGGATTACCTAGAAACTTGATTCCTATATTAGAGAACCAGTTTACATTCAAAAGATATATAACTACCGAGTCACTGAAGAATTTCTTCAGATTTTTAT